GGGAGAGTGCTTATAATAAATATAGGTCATATTATACCTTCGAGGCATAGCAGGGAGGAGAAATGGCCTATTACCCCCATTAAAGACATGATAAGGCCCGGCACGGTGGCTCATGCCTAGAATCCTGGCACTTTGGGAGGCTGAGGCAGGTGGATCATCTGAGGTCAGGGGTTCAAGACGAGCCTGGAGGGCTTAGTAGAAACCCCGTCTTTACTAAAAGTACAGAAATTAGCCGGGTATTGTGGTGGGTGCCTGTAGTCCCAGCTGCTTGGTAGGCTGAGGCAGGAGAATTAATTAAACCTGAGGGGCAGGAGGCAGAGGTTGCAGTGAGCCGAGATCACACCACTGCACTCCAGCCTGGGCAACAGAGCAAGACACTGTCTTAAGAAAAAAAAAAGACATAATAAAAGCTAACGTAATATTTATATAAATAGATGGCATTTGGTAATTATGATTTATCATAATCAAATGAGTTGAAATCATTTGTTTTGGTTTAAACTAATTACCAATTCAATTCATTCTAACTCCTTTTGAAAGGCTCACTCATAGGCTAGGCCTGGGATTAAAATGATCATTAGAATGAGAGCTGTGCTAATTGTTAATTTTAGGTTGCTTGTCTAGAAAACTCATGGCAAGGGTAATAGTAGGAAGACTTCTAGGTCAAAGAGGAGAAATGTAATAGCTACGAAAAACTTGATGGAAAAGGGGAGGCGGCCAGAGCCTATTGGGCTAAAACCGCATTCGGAGGAGCTCTTTTAACCATGAGAACCCTCCAGAACTAGTAGAATGAGAACTCAGTCATTGCCCCAAGGATTGTACCAAGCCATTCATGAGGGATTTGCTCCCATGACCCAGACGCCTCCCACAAGGCCCTGCCTCCAACACTGGGGATCACATTATAAGGTGAGATTTGGAAGGGACAGATATCCAAATGATATCTGGAGCTGACATGACTGAAAGAGAGTAAGGGAGAAGGCAGAAGGACAAAGCAGAGAGGGCCTCAGATCCTGCCAGTAGCAGGGCATGGGCCCGGGAGGCCGCCTGGGGCATGGTGTGGGAGGGTGCGCTCCTGCAAGATGTGGCAGTGAGGGCCACGTCCCTAGAGGCAGGCCTTTCCACTAAGCCCGGGACCACAACAGGAGAGCAGAGAGGTCCAGCAAATGAAGAAGCTGGCAGAGGGTGGGGGAGTTGGATCACCCCAAAGACAGCCAGAAGGGAGGGGCAGGTCATCTGGGCTGTGGAATATGAGTAGGGTTTGTCTGGGCAGAGAGAGGGAGGTAGGCTCCCCAGAGGGCTTGACACTAGCCAGGATGTGCAGGGAGCAATATGGAAATGTACAGTATTGCTTCCCTCCCGCCTTGGAAGCTGTGGGTGCCCCACAGGATTGAATTGAAGACCTAGAACCCTGGACAGGAAAGGCCAGGGACCCAGGAGACTCGAGGGTCTCAACAGGCAGACCCATGCCATGTCTGGATTCCAACCTTCTCCACCTAGTGCCACGGGATGGCAGGATACCCCCTTCCATGTAGCCTTGCTTATTTGCTTGGAAGTCAAGCCCTAGGATGGAATCTCATTGCCCGAGAATGCAGGAGTACCAGGAGCTTCTAGGGAGCCCTTGCTTCCATTGTGGCAGGGCAACCTGTGCATTTACCATCCCACAAAGAGGGCATGCGGTGGAGTAGAGGTGTTCCCCGGAAAAGGACTGGTGGCTGTGAGATGGAGCACAGGATCCCGTGGGAGCAGGGCAACCCCAGCCCGCCCTTACCCTCGTGATTCCTGCCTGTTCCATTCTCTTCCACCGCATGGGAGGAGCTCCTGCCCCGGGTTCCTTGCTGAAGATATGACGGGGAGTAAATAGCTGTGACACTGGTCCACTCTGAGCTCCTGTAGGGATCCTAAAACCAGAATGAACAGTATCCACTACCCATGGCCAGGGAACTTGCTGTACTGTAAAGAACGAACTAGGGGTGGGGCACTGGTGTTAATCTTAGATCCCCAGGAGTAAGAAAGGATCTATCTTTGTCATCCGTGTTGCTCTGATTATTAGTGAAGTAGAATTGCTCTTTGTAGCCTGTTGGGCATGTGCATTCCTTCAATATTGATTTGCCTTTTATCTACTATTTAAAAAATTTGTATTGTGTCCATTTGTGATCACTTTGCAAGAGCTCTTTGTGTTTCTTACGGATATTAGCCAGGTGCCCAACATGAGCTGAATAGATGCTTCCTGGTTTGCCATTAATTTTGCACTGTCATTCAGGGCATTTAATCTCTTAGCACAGGGGTCAAAAACTTTTTCTTTTTCTTTTTCTTTTTTTTCTGAGATGGAGTCTTGCTCTATTGCCCAGGCTGGAGTGCAGTGGCATGATCTCAGATCACTGCAACCTCTGCCTCCCAGGTTCAAGAAATTCTCCTACTTTTGCCCTTCCAAGCAGCTGGGATTATACAGGTGTGAGCCACCAAGCCTGGCTATTTTTTTCTTTTTTAACAGATAGGGTTTCACCATGTTGACCAGGCTGGTCTTGAACTCCTGACCTTGTGATCCACCCACCTCAACCTCCCAAAGTGCTCAGATTACAGGCATGAGACACCGCACCTGGCCAAAAACTTTTTCTAGAAGGAATCAGATAGTAAATATTTTAGGCTTTGAGAGCCATGCCATCTTGGTTCCATCTACCTGACTGTGCCATCATAGCATGAGAGCAGCCATGGACACTGTGTACACAGACATTCACATTTCTGATGTGTTCAGTCTTTTCTTCCATATAAATATGGCGGGGGGGGGCTTTCCACTCCAAAATTAAATAAAAGAAAAACAAAAAACTAGAGAAAAGGAAAAGTACTCAAAAGTGGTGTACGTCTAAGTCCCCGGCACTGATGAGCACTGACGGCAGATGTGCTGGCATCAACTTGGATCTCGGTAGGTTTTTAGTCCCCAGGAGAAGAGGCGAGAGTGGGCATTGCTGCAGGCAGGGGCAGAGTCACAACTCAAGGCTGAGGCATCCAGGCCTGGGAGAAACTCTTAATGGGCTGGAGTTGGGGGTGGCATTTCAGAGGAGTCTCCCTTTGTCCTGGGCCTCTCCTCTGATCTTTATTCTCTCCACTTTGGTGACTATGTTCTCAGAGGACACTGGGCCCGCTGCATCTTGAGAGATGTGTTCAGCCAACCACCTGGTCTTTGTCAGTCCCAGTGTTACCCCAAGTGAAGACACACCCCCGAAATTCCTTCCATGGAAGCATCAGGCCTCTTCCTCCCCTCCCCTCCAATCTGGACCCTCCCAGGGACTGGATTGTCAGGTCCGATCTTAAGGAATCGCATGGGAATTTTATACTTAGCTCCTTTACCCTTTTCTTTTAATGCTGTTTCAAAGATGTTCTTAAACCCACTGCTGTATTTAAGATATAATTTTTCTATCCTATAACTTTTAATGATAAACTCAAAAACCCAACTGGTTTTGCAAAGGGTTTTCTGAGTGTGAGAGGGTCAGATGGGAGTTCTCCCCCTCCCCTCCCCACCTTCAGCTTGTTGTTCTCATCACATACTGGAGAAACAGGCTTGGGCCTGGACCAACCCTGTGCAGACTCGCAGACACACAGCTGGCCATGGGAACTGGGACAGGCCCTTTGCCTTTCAATGGCCTCTGAGACGAGGGCATGTGTGATGGTTAATATTGAGTGTCAACTCAATTGGATTGAACTGTACAAAGTGTATGTCTTTGAGGGTGTTACCAAAGGAGATTTGCCTTTGAGTCAATGGAGTGGGAGAGGCAGAGCCATTATGAATCTGAGTGGGCACCATCTAAGCAGCTGCCAGCGAGGCTAGGATAAAGCAGGCAGAAGAACATGGAAGGACTAGACTGGTTGTCTTCCAGGCTCCATCTTTCTCTCATGCTGGATGCTTCCTGCCCTCGAACATTGGACTCCAAGTTCTTCAGCTTTTGGACTCTTGGACCTACACCAGGGCCTCTCGGGCCTTTAGCCACATGCTGAAGGCTGTGCTGTCAGCTTCTGTTCTTTTGAGGTTTTGGGTCTAGGACTGATCCACCACTGGTTTCTTTGCTCCTCAACTTGCAGGCGGCCTATGATGGGACTTTGCCTTGTGATGGTGTGAGTCAATTCTCCTTAATAAACTCCCCTTTAAATATGCATCTATCCTATTAGTCCTGGCCCTCTAGAGAACACAGTATGTGACTCGAAAGGTCTGTAGTGAAGCTGGAGTGAGGCGACTTAGGTAGTGTGTGTTGACGTGACATGCTGGCATCACTCCAGAGCCTGGTGACCTAGGTTGGGGTTACTGACTTTGCTGCCTACTAGCTATGTAACCTGGAACAAGTGACTTCACCTCTTTGTGCTTGCATAAATATGGGGTGATGATAAGGCACCTAATAATAGATTGTTTGGAAGATTGAATGGCTTCATCCATATTAAGTGTCTAAAAGAGTGCACATCTAAATAGTTAGGAAATGTTAGCTACTGTAGGCCAAGTGCCAGTCACATAGTAGGTGTTCAATAAATACAACAAGCCTTCTGTTATTAGATGTGCTGGAACAATTCTGTTATGCTAGTCTTTGCTACTTTTGCAAGGACTGCAGATGTAACACCTATCTGCCTCCCAGTAAGCACTGTTAATTAAAGCCCCCAAGCCCAGATAACCTTGCTTTTCTGTCCTTAGCAAGCTTTGGCTTGATAAGAATTTTCAAAATGTGTTTGTTGATCTTTTAAAACCCCTGAGATGAGTATTTACTGCCAAAATGTGCACATGTATCACAAGGATTTAATTCGGGCACTAGATAATGCTGGAGATTTAAAGAAGGAAAATGACGAGGTTTTCGTTTCTTTGCCCTCTATCTGCTATGGCTACAAGCACTTCTGTTTATCGTTTAAAATCCTATTTGAAAAGGTCACTGGTTATTTGCATGAATCATACAGTGTGAGGACTTAGAAAAAACGAGCCAAAGATTGGCTGCTGCAGATGCCTGCTTCATTCCCTGTCCTTCCCCGAGATGGAGTTTGTGCTGAGTCTCTGCTGTTCTCGGCTTGTGGTGGCTGCCGTGGGGTAGAGGAGGACCACTGGATCTGGGCACCTGATGCTGTCAGTCGTTATGAGAAGGCCAGATACTGCGCAGAGAATGCACGGAGTTCGTAAGTCCACTTGCAATTGGGCTGGTGCAACTAGAAGCAGTGCTTTAAATTTTATTCCATTTTAATTAATTAGCTAATTATTTTAATTAATTAGCTAACTTTGTGGCACTAATTAGTTAATGAGTACAACTGAAGAACTGAGTTTTAAATGGAAAATTTCGATCCACTTCCACGTTTTGCATTCCGTTTTTACAAAAGAGAAGACTGAGTGTCCAGATGCGTTAGCACTGGTTTAGAATTGCCCCGTGGACCCAGTGGACCTACTCTCTTCAGATAGGTGTGGACTCTCTCTGAAAGGTCACTCTGCCTGGGTTCCTCTCTAATGATGTGAGCGGTATTCTCTGAGCCTCCTGTAGCCCCTGTTTCGAATGATGTGAGGTGAAGGGGTGATGGTCTATTTATTGGCCTCATATCTCACAGGTGCCTGCACATTGTGCCCAGAGAAGCCCTTTGGGAAGTGGAGCTAGTGTTCAAAAGGCCACTCATTGGCTTATTCCTGAGGATTTATCTTCAGGTGTTGAAACTCTTTTCGAAAGAAAGACCTGACCTGGGAAGTCCACTGAGGACAGGTGTGTGGTGTAGTTTCCTAGGGACAGAGGCAAACCAGGAGAATTTTCTAGAGAGAAGTGTGAAGAGCCATTCTCCAGGGCAATTTTTTTTTTTTTTGAGATGGAGTTTCATTCTTGTTGCCCAGGCTGGAGTGCCATGGAGCAATCTCAGCTCACTGCAACCTCTGCCTCCTGGGTTCAAGCGATTCTCCTGCCTCAGCCTCCCAAGTAGCTGGGATTACAGGTGCGTGCCACCAAGCCTGACTAATTTTTTATATTTTTAGGAGAGACAGTGTTTCACCATGTTGGCCAGGCTGGTCTCAAACTCCAGACATCAGGTGGTCCACCCACATCAGCCTCCCAAAGTGCTGAGATTACAGGCATGAGCCACTTCGCCTGGCCAGAACTTTCCCAGTGATGGAAATGTTTGTTATCTGTACCATCCAGTTCAGGCCGCTCATTGCATGAGGCTACTAAGCACCTGAAATTTGGCTCGTGCAACTCAGGAACTGTGCCTTAAATTTCATTCAATTTTAGTTAATTAGCTAATTATTTTAATGATTAGCTAATTTAGTTAGTAGCACTAATTAGTTAATTAATGAGTGCATCTGAGGAACTGCATTTTAAACTTTGATTTTAATTGGAAATAGTCACATGAGGCTAGTAACTGCAAAGAACTGTGACAAGCCTGAGATGTCTCACTACTTGCAGGCTGACAAATTAGCCTGCTGACAGAAGCTGGCAGAAGACAGGAGCTTCCTGGATCAGAGACAAGGGACTTCATTACTCAGCGCAGCAGGCAGCCAGCTTGAGTTTCATACTTGCATCATTTCTGCTTGCCTCCAAGTCCCATGGGATTCTCTGCAAAAGCATTTACCATTATCTGCACTGTTTTGTGTGATGCACAAGGTTTCAGAGAGAGGGACTATATATTTCACTCGGCATTGTATCTCCTGTATCCCAAAGAGGACCTGGCACATTCTAGGGCCCCAACGAGTCCTTACTAAATGACCAATGGCTCTGGTTTCTCACAAAAGCCAAGAGTTTGGACCCAGTGGTTGTTGAGGATCCTCTCTGCTCTTGATGAAGGTCTCTGAACTTGAGTGAGTGTCCTACTTCTGAGGTCGTCTCTTTCTTACAGTCACTGGGCAGACCAGCCTCACACAGGGTTCTCAGTTCCCTCCCCACAGAGCCTGAGGCTGGGATTCCATGCATGTGGATTGCAGAGGAAGTGAAGTGTTCCAGGGAAAGGGTGGGGGACACAGGGCTAAACCAGGGAGCTGCTGAGCAGAGCTGTGCTTCCAGCTAGAGTCAACCTTCAGCCTGATCCCATAGCCAACCCAGAACACAAACTGCACCATGACGTTGTGCCACAAACCTAAAAGTTTGGCCTTGATGCAGGGACAGTTGGGAGCCTCAGAAGATTATAGGCAGCAGAAAGGAAACACAAGAATCCAAGAATTCTACATAAGAAACATGTTCTGGACTCTGGAGTCCAGGGAGTTTGGTGTTTGAACGAGACTCCAGGTGACAGTGGGGAAGAGAAATGAGTGTGCTTCCATTGCTGTTGGGGAAAGATACATTTTTCAACTCTAGTACTTATCATCAGCAGGGGAAATCAAAGGAAAAGGCAAAGGAGGCCAGCCCTGTGTAACCCCACACTCCTCCCTCATCATCTGTGCACTGCCTGGGGTGTGGAGGGTGAGAGGGTGGGTACCTCCCAGTGGAGGCAGCTGCTGTGTAGCCAGAGGCAGTTCTCTGGATCAAGGGACCGCTGTGAGCTGCCAGCAGCCAATAGTCACAGGAGCTGAGGGGTGGCGTCCCAGCCAGAAGAGGCCCCTGGGCAGAGTGCCAGCAGCATCTACTCTGCAGGGACCCAACACTTTCCAGGTAGCCTGACCCCAGCTAAGAAAACAAAAACCTGAAACCTGCCTTTCCAGGTGAAGTGGCTCCGAGGGTCACCGGGCGTAATTTGCTACCTAAGGAAAGTTCGTGATTACCATCCCCTGCCCCTCCACACCGCTCAGGTTTCCTGCTCATCCTCTGGGCCAGCCTGGAAAAGAAAGAAGCAATGGGTCTTCATGTCCCGACAGTGTGCCAGGAACTCTTCAAGAAACTTAACCTATATTATCTCATCTAACGTTCCCGGCAACTCCGAGGGATGGGCCTTATAATGCCCATGCCTGCCAGGTGGAAGCTGTGGCTGGCAGAGGTGAAATACCTTCCCGGGGCCACACAGCTATGAATGGCAGTGCCAGGACTCAAAGCCAACCCTCCTGGGCCAAAGCCTATGCTCTTCCCTGCCATCTCCATGAGCGTGGGTGCGGGAGAAGAGGCATCATGAGACTGTCTTTCTGGTCTTTCTCTTTCTCCAAGAAGCCCCATAAAGCACGGCAGGACTTCAGGGAGCAAAACAGGAAGTCAAGGAACCCTTTCCTGTGGTTTCTCCTACTGATGAGTGGTGGAGTTGAAGATACGCGTCTTTTCCCAACAGCATGGAGGCACACGCATTTCTTTTCCCTACTGTCACCTGGACTCTGAAACACCAAACTCCCTGGACCCCAGAGTCCAGAACACGTTTCTTATGTGGAATTCTTGGATTCCTGCCTTTCCTTCCTGCTGCCTATAATCTTCCGAGGCTCCCAAATATCTCTGGGTCAAGGCCCAACTTGTACACCTGGGTTTCGAGCTCCCTCTGCAGTTCACCAAGTTTTTTTCAACCAATCCTATCTCCAAATCTTGCCCATCACATCTCCCACTGCAATACAGATGAGATCTGCCGTTTATTTACTCAAACCTAAAAATATTAGCTCTTATTTTGGGAGCTCTTGCCACATGCCCAAGCTGGACGGATCGCTTTGTATGTGTTGTCTTGTGTGAGCCTCACAAGGACCCCATCAGGTCAGTCCTGTTGTTCTCATCTTACAGATGAAAAGCTGGAACTCAGTGAGGTACGGTAACCCAGGAGGAGTAGAACAAGGATTAATGTAAGTCCGTCTGGCCCAGACCCTGTGCTTTCTCCTTCTTGGTCAGTGCTCTCCAATAGAACTTTCCCAATGATGAAATGCTTTATGTCGTTACTGTCCAGGTCAGTAGCCACTAGCCACATGAGACTGTTAAGCGGTTGAAATGTAGCTGGTGCACCTGAGGAACTGTGTGCTTGCCTTCCATGAACTGCCTCGTGATTCACCGGGGGACTCAAAACATTCATTTCCTGATCACCTCATTTATGCCAGGAATTGGGAGAGGTTGCCAAAGGAGAACGAAAGCACACGAGGCACTATCATTGCAGGGGATGCCCAGTCATGATAATGTGGGGCCCAGGATTGGTGTTGTCTTGTGTGAACCTCACAAGGACCCCACCAGGTCAGTCCTGTTGTTCTCATCTTTTTTTTTTTTTTGAAACAGAGTCTTGCTCTGTCACCAGGCGCCAGGCTGGAGTGCAGTGACACAATCTCTGCTCACTGCAATCTCCACCTCCTGGGTTCAAGCAATTCTCCTGTCTCAGCCTCCCGAGTTGCTCGGACTACAGGTGTGCACCCACGCCCAGCTAATTTTTTGTATTTTTTAGTACAGATGGAGTTTCACCATGTTGGCCAGGATGGTCTTGATCTCTTGACCTCGTGATCTGCCCTCTTCCACCTCTCAAAGTGCTGGGATTACAGGCATGAGCCACCATGCCTGGCCTTGTTGTTCTCATCTTACAGATGAAAAACTGGAACTCAGTGAGGTACACTGAAAAAAATTTTTTTTCGATTTTAATTAATTCAGTTAATTTAATTAGTGATATTAATTAATTAATTAATGAGTGCAGCTGAGGACTTGTATTTTAAATTTAAAATATGTTTAATTAGAAAGAGCTGCCGAGTGCAGTGGCTCATGCCTATAATCTCTGCACTTTGGGAGGCCGAGAAAGGTGGATCACGAGGTCAGGAGTTTGAGACTAGCCTGGCCAACATGGCGAAACGCCACCTCTACTAAAATTACAAAAATTAGCCGGGTATGCTGGCATGTACATGTAATCTCAGCTACTTGGGAGGCTGGGACAGGAGAATCGCTTGAACCCAGGAGGCAGAGGTTGTAGTGAGCTGAGATCGCACCACTGTACTCCAGCCTGGGCGATGGAGCAAGACTCCATCCTAAAAAAAAAAAAAAAATAGTTGTAGTCATTTGGACTTCAGCAAGATGCTTCACCACACTGTGCCTCAGCTTCCTCATTTGAAAATTGGGGATGACAATTATAGCCTTGCATTCATTGGCTAAAGCAACCATAACAAAATATCATAAACTCAGTGGCTTAAACAACTGAATTTTATTTTCTCACAGATCTGGATGCCGGAAGCGCAAGATTAAGGTGTCATCAGGGTGGGTTTCTGATGAGAGCTGTCTTTCTGGCTTGCATGTGGCTGCTTTCTCATTTGTCCTCACGTGGCTTTCTTCTGTGCATATGTAGATAGTGCCTTCTGGTCTCTCTCTCTCTCTCTCTCTCTCTCTCTCTTTCTCTCTCTCTCTCTCTCTCTTTTAAATAAAGACACCAGTTCTTGCAGATTAGGGCCCACCATTACAGCCTCGTTTAACCTTATTACTCTCCTAAAGGCCTTATCTCCAAATCCAGTCATCTTGATGGTTAAGGCATCGACATGTGAATTTGGTGGTGGTGTGGGGCACAGGTCAGTCCATAGCGAGGGCCAATTCTGCAGGGCTGTTGTGATGATTTCAATGGGTTGGGACAAGTGTGGAATAAGAGCCAGGCTGCTCTTAGCACCCTGGTGGTAGCGGCCCCACATTATCATGACTGGGCATCCCCTGCAATGATAGTGCCTCGTTTGCTTTCTTTCTCCTTTGGCAACCTCTCCCAATTCCTGGCATAAATGAGGTGGTCAGGAAATGGATGTTTGAGTCCCCCAGTGAGTCACGAGGCAGTTGACAGAAGGCGAGCAGGGTGTGAGGTGCCCTGGGCTGCACCCTGCTGTGTTGCTGACCTGCTTAGTGACTTTGGCCAAGTCCCTGTCTTCTGCCAGCCAGGATGCATCTCATTAAGACAAAGCTTGCTTTGCCAGTGAAATTGCAGGAGATTTCATATCCTCATGGCCTTTTGTGGCCATTCCTAAGTATTGGGTAGTGCTCAGAGTCGACTCAGAGAGATTGTTTTTGTTTTTGAGATGGAATTTCACTCTTGTCCCCCAGGCTGGAGTGCAATGGTGTGATCTCTGCTCACTGCAACCTCTGCCTCCTGGATTTAAGTGATTCTCCTGTCTCAGCCTCCTGAGTAGCTGGGATTACAGTTGCCCACCACCACACCTGGCTCATTTTTGTATTTTTAGCAGAGAAGGGTTTCACCACGTTGGCCAGGCTGGTGTTCGAGCTCCTGACCTCAATTGATCTGCCCCCCTCAGCCTTCCGAAGTGCTGGGATTACAAGCATAGGCCACCTCGCCTGGCCAGAGAGATTTTTTTCTTTTACGGAAATGTTCTTATAGACTCCAAACTGACAGTACTTCTCCAAACCCCCCTCTCACAGCTACTGCTCCCACCCCAAGAGAGCACCTGGTGACCCTGCAGGATAGGGCTGGGCTGGACGGGCATAGGAGAACTTACTCTCACTGCCTGTCTCTGGGGCAGTTTCGGAGTCATGCCTAGGAGCCTGAGTGTTTTCCTGCTCCTGAGTAACCACCCACAGACACGGAACCGCCGAGGCTGGGGGCGACCTCTTGGGATTCCATGGCAACACTGAGAAACCCCATGTTGATTTTTCCATCTTCTTTCATGTTACCTTTCCCACATCTGTCCTTGCTTAGGAAGATTGATGTCCGAGAACGTTTGTTTAGCAGAGAGCTCTATTAGCTGGGGAGGGACAGATTGAAGGCCATGGGGACAGCCAAGCCTGTGCAAGCCCCCTCACCTGGTGTGGCTCAGCCCAGCAGCATTGGGAAGGAGAGTACCAGGTGTTAGTTCTTTGCGTCCTCCCAGCTCACTGCTAATTCGTGATTCGTATGCTGACTAATTCAGTGCATTTTTGAACCCCTCAGTATCAACTTCCTCATGAGGGAAACACAAACAAAGATACCTTTTACGAGAAGTGCAGCATCTGGCCAGGAGGAGATGATAGCTCAGCCCCTAGGGGAGCATTGATGACATGCCAGACACGCTTGAAGCACTTTATGTAGTCATTGAGCCTCTTAATCTTCTCGGCAACCCTAGGAGGTGGGCATGATTATTCTTTTTCTTTACAGATGAGGAAACTGAGGCACAGTGAGGTGAAGTGACTCCTGGCAGAATGCACAGCCAATGAATGACAGAGCTGGGCATTGGACGCAGGCTGTCTTGCTCCATAGCCTTGGCCCTCATCACTGCCCTCGGCCCAGCTGACATTAGTTATGCCAAGCTGTGTCTCCTCCCCACAACCTTCCCTGAAGCGCTGGGGAGAAAGGACACACACAGCAGGTGTTGCTTGTTCTGAAAAGTTCTTTACTTTTAATTAAACAAAAGATGTCTCTTTCGAGTTGTTAACCTGGAGAGTCAGAGGCAGGGCAGCCCCACCCCGGGCACCTCCTATCTCCTTCGGCCCCCATGGGCCTCCCGGTGATATTAATGTCCGAGGGCCTCGGAGTCATCCATTATTGATGGGGCATGGGTGCACCGTGGGGAGAGGGTGAGAAAGAAGCCCAGGTGGTCTTGATGGCTCAGAAACTTCTTTTTATCCCTGTCCCTGGTGGGAAAGTGCATTACAGGTGACAGGAGCAAAAGCAGCTGTGACCAAGCTGCTGCCAGCCGTGGGTGGGACATGATCATTTGTTATTGCCCTCTGCTGAGCACCCTCCTCTCATTCAGGATTTAGGAGGAAAATGACAACAACGGCAACACCACTTCTTTGATCTTGAGTCTTAGATTCATGTCTCTCTGCTTCACAAAATCCCTAACTGTCTGTTTCCTGCCATCGAGAAGAATGTGCCAGACTCCAAACTACCTCGGGCTCTGTCCAATGAGATCTGTGACCTGTCCCCAGCCCTGTTGTGGGAGCACACGCTTCCTTTGGGGTGGGGGTGGGGTGAGAACGGGCTTTCACCTGCAGACATGGGTTCCAGTTCGCATTCTGCCCTTGCTCTCCTTGGGACACCGAGCTGCTCGACCTCCGAGCTTGGGTTTCCTCCTGTGTGTGATGGCGAGGCTGGAGCTACTCCAAGGGACTGGCTGAGGCTAAATAATGCATGTGAAAGGCCTTAACCCAGTGCCGGGCACACAGCAGGTCCCAGAGAAAGGGTATGCCATCCTCTCATTTTGTCTACCCCACCCACCCTCATCCTTCAGGGTTTAGGCAAGAGCTCCTCCACCTGACCTCTGACTATTCTGGTGTTTTGCATGTTGGTTGAAACTCTTTGGGGCAGGCTCTTCAAATTTAGCATTTTACAACAGGAAGTGGTTAGAGATCAGAGCTTTCTGTTTGCAGTTTGGGACAGGAAGCTTCTGCACTTAGGTCCCCTGGCTCCCATCCAGTGATCCTTAGGTGACTGTCTTCTCTTTGCACACTGAGAGGTGAAAGGGCTCAGAGGCTTCACGTGAGCACTTAACATTCACTGTGTATATCTGAGCCAAGAGGGGACAGAAACTATCTAATGGATCCCAAGGCCCTCTCCCCATGGTAAGTTTCCTGAGTATTTTCCTCTATTTTTTAGATGAAGAAACTGAAGCTCAGAGAGGTTAAGAGACTCCACTAAGGCCACGTAGTCGGTAAGTGGCAGAGCTGGGATTTGAACTCAGCTCTCTTTGACTCTAGAACCTATGTTCTAAATTGCCTTGCTTTCTTTGCCTTAAAAAGAAGAGAACTGTGACTTTGTTTTCTGTTTTGATGGTGCTCACATGGATTTCTGGATTGAAAAGAGAGGGCCCCTGGGTCCAAGAATTCAGAAGAGTGGTGGCATTTGAGAAAAACAGTCCCATCCCCAGTGGGTGCCGTGGCTGGGACAAACCCAGAGCTTCAGCACACCTGGGTTCAGGATTGAGTCCACCATGGCCAGCAGGGTCCTGGGTCCATTCTCCCAGGAAGGTTGCTCTGTGGCTCCACGATCTCTAGGAACCAGACCCCTGGGACCCCACAGTGGGGCCAGGTGCATCCTCGTGAGCTGTGTGCCCCACATCCTGCCTTAGCCACAGAGGAGCCGGCAGGCAGGATTCAACCTCACTCAGCACTGTTCCGGATGGTTGTATAGTTACACGGTGTGGTTTTGTAGTATTTTTGGTTTTGTTGTTTTTGCAAAAGCCAAAGGAAGTCTGTGGGCCGAGTTCTACCTTCCCTTCTTTGAGGACAGTTGATCTGCTTGGTCAGGTGCAAGCAGAGCTCAGCTAGGAAAAAAAAACAAACCTCCAAACAAGAGGTCCATAGATCAGAGGGCACCTGCACTAGCTAGACACTGGCCCTGTCTGTTCACAGGCAGGGCTCATTGGAAGTTCCGTTGTAATCATCCCATTTTCCAGATGAGGACACTGAGCCCAGAAACAACCACACCCGCACCTCTCGGGAGGCACACATCAGAATGAATCTATGCTCCCAGAGTGCTGAGCGCTTTTCTGTTTCACAGTGTGCTCTACCTCCTGTCCCCAGATACTCGTTGAGGGCCTACCAGTGCTCTGAGCAGGGACACAGCAGTCAGGGAGTCAGACTCCTCCTGGTGGGAGGAGTCTGCCTCCTGGTGGGAAAGTCAGAGAGACTAGGGAAGGCTTCTCCAAGGAGGGCATTTGGACAGAACCATGAATGCAGTGAGTGAGAAAGCCATATGGATTCTTCTGTAGAGGGAACAGCAGGTACAAAGGCCCTGAGGCATTACGCTCTTTCAGTTTGATTGTCTGGGTGTTTACCACCCCCCACCTCGGCCACCATCGCGGTGCCTGCTCCCTCCTAGTATCCCTTCCTTAGTCAACTCCAAGTGTCCGCAAGAGTGTGGCAATGGGGTGGGGGTTGTGCAGCAAGAAAAATCAAACAGAATTGCCTGGGGCAGAAGAAAGGTGCACCTCTAATAGGAAACCGCCTGCCTTAATCCTTAATCCTCTTCACACAACTTCTGCCTTTGGTGGAGTTTGCCGTGGTTTCATCTTCTTGCTTTGTATGTGTGCTCAAAATGCCTTCTTTAACTAGGGCTGTGAGTTCTCAGCACACTGCAGTCCCGTCTTGTCAGGCCCATCTTTCCAAGCAGAGCAGGAGCCCAGATTCAAAAACCACAGAAATAGGAGAAGAAATAGTTTTGGAAACTATACTGCTGACCTTGGGCTGCGCTCAGGGAGAGAAGTGCAGCAGGCAGAGTCTGGGAGCAGGTGAGGGTGCAAAGGCTAACAGACCTCTGTCTTGGCACAGCCATTAGGCTCTGGCCCCTGTCTCTGGATTCGGGTCCTCTCCTTCATCACAGTGTGGTATTGGTGCCAGCCAAGTTCCTAGGGGAGCAGCTCATAGGGGTGGATGTGCTGAAGGAGGTATGCTGAGGAGTTAGGGACCGCAGCTTCTCTGTGACTTTGTTTTCTGTTTTGATTTTGCCCGCACGTATTTGTGAGTTGATAAAAAGAACTCGGAAGACGGGTGGTATTTGAGAAAAACAGTCCCATCCCACATGGGTGCCTGGCCTGGACAATCCCAGAGCATAGCTCACCTGTACTCAAGATCAAGCCCATTATGGCTGACAGAGGCCCAGGCCCCCTCCCAGGAAGGTTGCTCCAAGGCTCCAGGCTGTCTAGGAACCAGAGCTCTGGGCCCTGCAGCAGAGCCCGGTGCCTCCTTGTGTGTGGTAGTCTCATCTTTGTGGCACTTCGGTCAGTGGACAACCTTGGGCAAGTCACGCCCCCTCCCTGAGACTCAGAAAGTGGAACAGAAAGGTATGTCATCTGTGCTCCTCTGTGATCTGGAAATGCTACAGCCTTTGCCTCAGAGGTAGGTGGCATCCAGGTATGGGGACAGGGGCTTCTGTCAGCTCCCCTTTGATTTTGTAGACCTCCTGGCTCTTAGCAAAGAGATGTCCTAGGAAGGGCAGCAGTGGTCCCGTCTTGGACATTCACACCAGAACCTTGGCACATTCTCACCTCTCCTTGACTGGAGACCTGTGGCTGCAGAACCAGAAACTCATTTCCAGATGCAGTAGAATGTCTCTCTTTCCTCAAGGCTCAGAGGAATTTATTAAGCCTTGCATTAACTGAAGCTTACTCTGCTGGAAAAATAATACTCAGAAAGCAATTCTGTCTGGTTACTGCCTGTAAGCTCCTGAAGGGTTCTCATAAGAAAGGCTCAAAAAGCTCCTGCGCTGTGGGACTCAGAGCCCAGCCCTGTAGCTTCCCTCCAAGGATCAGGCAGCTCAGCGGTTCACCAGCAAGCCCATCATCATTCAGCACCATTGGGTTATCCATCTGTCTGTCTATCAATTAGGCAAGTGCTTATGAGGGTCTGGGGCCAGGGGCGGCATGTACCAGGAGTACTAAGACTAAATCAGACACAGCATGTGCCATCCACAGCAGTTCAGGCTCAACCTGACCACTTTCTCTGGTAAAACTCCAGAGAATTCTTGACTTTATTATTCACCATTCAAAAGCAGCGTGAGCCTTTGTGTCAGCTCCCCTTCACCTCCAAGTGTCATGGCATGCAGGCAGAGGGCCCATACAGATGCCTGCACATGGAATGGTTACGATGTTGGACAGGAACACTGAGCTTGGGAGATCCACCATTTGGTAACAGACAGCAAGCATGCCAGCTTTTTGTCCCAGAGGGAGACACTATCTATCGCATGTCTCAGTATTGGTTACTGCAAACACAAGCCAAGTACAGGGCAGTCAAAGCCTCGCATTCTTTGTCTACCCAGCAAGATGTGTAGGAATGCAAGAAACTCATGGAGGAGCATTTCCAAACAGTGCATTAGCCTTGCAAAAATTTGGATTTTAATCCTGTGTCTAACAACTAGGTGCAAAATTAGATAAATTGCAATTGCTGGACTTCTCTTAGCCTCAGTTTTCTCTTCTATAAAATGGGGATAATGCCTACTTACCAGGTGGTTGTGAAAGAGCGTAGGATCATTCTTCTGGGAACACAGTAGGGAGCTAAGAAAGCCCTTGACTTCAAGAAACTTATTTGTATGGGGAATCTTTTCAGCTACATGTAAGCGTGCAATGTCAGCTAGACAGGCATGTGGAAAATGTCAGAAACAGGTGCTTGGTGCCACAAAGAAAAATCAGCACTGAGACAGAGGATCTCTCAGCAAGGCAATCTTTACTTTCTGCAGAAAGGGTGCTCTTGTTAGCCATCTGGCCATGGAAGTACAACGAACAAAGAAAAAGTAGACATACTTATCTTGTACGCATTTGGGGTTATCCTTACTGCTGTGTCTGATCTGTTTTGGCTGGAGGCAGACTTCACTATCTAAAACTAAAACTCGATTGGCTAACAACTTAAAACTTTTCTAAACAGGTAAAAGCAATGGAGGACAAAAAGAAAGTTTAAGGAAGGAAAGGGCATAGGCTGCGGGCTGGGATATGACTGTGAGCACGTCCAGCACAGATATCACGGACATAGAGTGTACTACGTGCTTGTGAGCATGTGTAACAGCTACATAGGATAGGGCTTAACAAAGAATCACTGGTGAAAAGCAAGAAGGCTTTGAAGAAAGTCTTTAAAAGAGACCATTATTTCTAACATTTGTTATTATTATTCTTTAACAAAAAAAGCAACTTTGAGGAAGAACTTTTCTACTTCCCACAGAAAAGAATAGTTAAAATACAGAGGGTGATACACATCAGGGCTCAGGGACAATTTCTGTAAGGCATTGCCATGTGACCCAGCATCCTGAATTATAGTAGTGAGGAATGACCTTACTACCTGTGGGAAGAGCATTCCTGGCAGCTCAGATAGCCTATGTGTAGGTTCTGTGCTTGGTGTGCTTGAGGGATAGCATGGAGGCTGACGTAACTCCACAGAGCAAGCAAGAAAAAGGCATGGAAAATGGAATCAGAGGGTAGGCAGGGACCAGTTCTGCCTTGGATCTTGCAGGCCTTGATGAGAGCCTTGGATTACATTGTGGGTGTGGAGGGAATTCACTGGAGGCTTCAGGTAGGTGGGGGCATGAGCAGAATACAGCATGCAGGAGGGTGGGAGAGGGTGCAAGGTCTGGGATTTGCTTTTATCCTGCTGCTACTAACAGATTAGCCTGTTAGTGTTTTGTGGATCCTAGCAGAAGACATGAGATTCCTGGGTCAGGTGTGTTGTAAAAAGGGTAAGATCTTACTGCTTTTTGTCCACAAAGCCTGAGCTCAGAGCAAGCTTTTTGGAGTTTGAAACCTTAGTCAATACTTTCAGAAGCTGAGCCTCAGTCAAAAAACAGGAATGAGATTCTTGGAACAGATTCCAGGGTACAGCATTTCAGAAGGCCCTTACTCTCTCTCAGCCTGCATGTCTTTACCTGTAAAATAGGAAGAACATTGCTTCCCAGGCATATTGTGGGGGGCCTTGTAAATAGAAATTGAATCTGAAGACCCTGTGCTTACTCTCTGCATTCATAAGAAAAATCAAATTCTTCCTAGTAATAATATATCCTTCTAGGTTTTTTATTATCCCTTTTCTTCACTGAGAAGCTGTTAATGTCTGCTCTGTAGCTCTAGTGCACAACACACACACTCAGACATGCTTGCAAAATCTGCCTGACAGCGTCTTCCTGGATAAAGGGTAGTGTCAGTCACTCAGGGGAGAAGGAAAGAGAAGAAGGTGA